CGCTCCGAGTCGCTACCCATTCCACCACCTGTTCATGAATCCACACATGGATGTGCAGTTGTCGCCTTCGTCTGGACTTTTAAAGTTAGTTATTATTTTGGAAACCTTCTTGTGGTATAATGGTTAACACACTAGTTTTGCAGACTATTATTGCTGTCTTGTAAGTTCGTTCCGAACTGGGTACTGCTCACCTGTGCCAGAGCCGCTAAGCACAGTGGCTTATCGTTAAATCATGCTGAAAACATTAGTTTTTGTCTGATAAATGAAGTTAAGCAACGTGGCACCTGAGCAGAATTTAGAGGGGTTTTAAAGGTCATCAGATACTGTAAACAACAGAATAAATCGCCCTTAAGCCCCATTTAGATAGCCTAATCTTCTTCTTCTTCTTCTTCTTCTTTTCTTCGTTTTCTTTTTCTTCTTTATCTTCTTCTTCTACTTCATTTCTTCATTTTCTTCTTCTTTCTTTCTTCTTCATTATCCTCTTCTACATTATCTTATTTTCTTCATTTTCTTCTTCTTCTTCTTCATTATCTTCTTCCTCTTCTTTTCTTCATTTTTTCTTCTTTTCTTCCTCTTCATTATCTTCTTCTACATTATCTGCTTCTTTTCTTCATTTTCTTCTTCTTCTACATTATCTTCTTTTCTTCTTCTTCTTCTTTTTCTTCTTCGTTATGTTCTTTTTCCTACTCTTCTTTGTTTTTTCTTATTCGCCACTTCTTCTTTCTTTTAAAATAAACAAACATAATCTTTATACTCCTGTTTGACTTTTATCATTCTAACCCGATTTAATATAATATAGTAATGAAGAGTCCCTAAGCGGGGACATCGGTAACGATTTTTTTTTTTTTTTGTCAGCCACTAGCGAGATAAAAGGAAATCGTAATCAAACATTATTAAATCAAATTCTTGAGATACTGGTTTTTGTCCGGAATGACCCGAGTATTTTTTTCCTGATATTTCTCTATTTCCTTTAAGGTATGTCAGAAGTTGCAGGTAGCATAACCCTTATTGGAGCGGAAAGAAGAATTGGTTCAAATCCCGGCCTAGACACTTGGGTTTACACTCCCATTCATGATCTTAGATAAGTTGTGTGAAACCGTCACTTCTTCCTTATTCCAGCCATGTATTAAATAGTAGAATAAATCTGGCTTTGGAAGGCAACCAGGCTGAGAGATGGAAATTCAATATATATATATATATATATATATATATATATATATATATATAAACGCAAATCATTACAATCGGTAGGATTTACCGAGGTGGAAGTGTTACTCAAAAAACAGTCGACGGACTAAGTTCAGTCATTGCTTGTCATGTTTTCACTGATCTCAAGTGCACACTGACCAGCCCAGGGATTGAACTCACAATGACTCCCACCAAATTCACAAACCAACGCTATAAGCCCGTGACATACCCTCTAGATATGGTCAGCGGAGTGAGAACAATCTGACCCGTAGATTAAATAAAGAGTTCAGTTCGAAAATGATTGAAGGTTACACAGATCGACAAGCACCTGAAAAAGGCCGCAGAGCACAACAACCGAAACGTTGTGATAACAACAACAAAGATAAGGACAACAGTCTGAATGTAAACAGTGTAAATAAGGATAATTCTTTATCCCAGGATTTAGAATAATATCCGAACAAAAGTAGAGATTATCTCTACCAAGAGCAACACACTTGATGAGGGCCGCAGAGCACATCGACCGAAACGTTATGATAACAACAACAAAGATAAGGACAATAGTCTGAATGTAAACAGTGTAAATAATAACTCCTCATAACACGATGTAGAATAATATCCGAACAAAAGTAGAGATTATTTCTACCAAAAGCGACACACCTGATGAAGGACGGAGGGCATAACGACTGAAACGTTGTGATAACAACAACGAAGATAAGGATAATAATTCACGTACGACTAAGTTAAATAAGAAAAACCCTTTTATCTTTATTATGATGTTGATTTGGGGTTAGTAGAGACAAACGCCAAATAACACGTAACAATAAGAAGGGATTTAACAGGTTGGTAAAAAGGTACAGAAATCGCCTAAGTTGTCAATCATTAGCTCAGCTAAGAACTGCTCCGTCTCTCTCTGTCTTTTGGCATACCACTATTTAACGTCTTTGTTCGCAGACAAGTTCATCTTCAAGAGGGGTGGTAGGTTTCCGACACAACAATCTTGTACAATTCAAAATGGAAAAAAAACTTTGATCTTGCTCAGACCAGAAGATTTCAATTATGGACCCTTGTTTGACTGACTATTTATAAAAAAAATGCCCGTAGTCCCCGTAAAGCAAAAAAAGGATGAAGTCGTTTGGAAAATATGAGTTCAGTTGATATTAAAGTTTCAAATAACGTGGTTTTGTAATCTACAAGACCGCATTATTCGAAACTTTAATCTCAGCTGAATTCACTATCAAGTTTATTTTTGGTTTATTTTCCGGATAGTGATATAACAATCAGTCGATATCAAAGAAAAGGGGAAGCGAACGAGATCTTTGTTTGACGTTGTCAACCTTTTCAAAGCAGTGTACGTGTCTTAAAGAATTGAGCGCATATGAGAAGAGATAATAACTTCACCATCGATCAAGTGATAATCGATTAGATGCATAGGACTGATTGGTGCTTTGGTCGTGATCGGACAGAGACGTTGTGGGCTTAACGAGTTTGCATTTTCTATCTTCGTCTAAACCGAATAGTGAAGATGTTCGGCCGAGTGTACATAAAATTCAGAGAAAGCAAAAATAAACACCAATCCAATAGATGTTCGTATATTTCTAAACATCGGTGAGCATGTAGCGTTACGGTAATCGGCACAAAAAGAGAAATCATGACCAAAACTCTTTCGTTTATTTTGCACTAACACCCTCGGAAAAGCAAAGCATCCATCACTCTCCAGATATGGGAAAAAATGTAGGGCTGACTAAGCTTTATTACCTTTAATGACAGCTTCTTTTGGAGAGAAAATTCTGAATTCACACTTACACAAATAATGGAGCAGAGACAACTCCATAACGTTGTGAGGCCAATCAATAATGGCAACCAAACAACGCAAATAACAGAGAAGAGACAACTCCTTAACTTTGTGAGGGCAACCTACTTAAAGAAGAATTTCGTGATCGATATTTCTTTTTTTGTTGATTCTTTTTTTCGGCTTATCAACCTTTTGCAGGATATTCAAAGCTAGAAAAATGTTTTGATTTTGTTTTTTGGATAACAATGATTCAGTGATACTAATTAACCCATAGCTAGGGAGAGAAGAGATGAATTCAACTCAAGGGCATTTATTAGCGCGTATGTGAATATAACGAACCCAGCTGGAATTGGTACACGGCTCTCCGATTAAATCCCGAAGCATTATCCGTTACCCCATGCGTACATCCAAGCTTAAAGCCCCTGGTATTCCTAAGCGGTCACTCATCTGACCAGACTCGAAGTTGCTTAACTTTGGTGCTCCTATGGGAACAGGTCTTTCAAATTGATATGGCTGTAAGCCATCGCTATGTATATTGATAAATATAAGTACTACCAGCCAACTCTCTGTAAACAGTAGGGGAGTTTCGTATGCTTAAATGTAATTAGTATTTTGTAATTATTGTGTTGTATTTTGTTTGCAAGAAACATTAGTCTGGTTTAAAGACACTCTTTGTACTCCGGGGTATTCTCTTCATTTGGGTTTTTCCCGCCTTCCTCAAGTGCACATTGATCAGGGTAACATGGGCAGAATTCTGAACTGTAACCTTTATCTAATCCACGGGAGCAGACGGTTCCACTGCTCATGTATAAGGATATTGTTTAGTTTTATTATTTTATAGTACTGCTTTTGTATTGATCAATCGTTTCAACTGAGTCCAAGTACACACTGCGCGGCGCAAGGATTGAACTCACAACCACTCACAACTAAATTCATGAACCGACGCGTAAATCAACTAAGCCATTATCCCGTTGTATTATTATTGTTTTAGTGAATTTGGAGCCTTAAAACGGCCGAAATGTTGTGATAACAACAAAGATGATGACGTTAGTTCAAATAGAAAGAGGGTAAGTAATGATAACTCCTAGAAAATTCGGACATAAATTAGTCTGGGTTCAATCATTTTTTAGTCGCTGTGAACATTTTTTGTCCTCGATTGAGCTCGGATGAGAGAGGACCGATAAAGCGGTTTAGCGGTTACTGTATTTTGTTTCATGACCATTTTATATAATATATATATATTTGGTTAGCCATCGTTTTTTTATAGGAATTATTTCTCTTTTATGAAAGGCATTTTAATATGTCTGCTTTTATTGTTTTCAATTTTTGAAGATCAAAGTTGGCCGGAAAAAACGAATCCGGGAGAGAATTCCACAAACGAGAAGTGCGAGAGAAGAAACTGTTAGCATAGAACTTACGGTTACGTCTAGCCAATTCAAGTGTAAAATGTTGAGATCTTGCCACTAATCTAGTACTGCACTTCAATTGATAAAAGGAACTGGACTGATAGAGGAAAGGTCATCAGAACAATTATCATGAAAGTATTTATAGAAAGGACAAAGGGAAGCTACATTACGACGGTGGGAAGGTGACTGAAGCTGATATGCCAGGTTAGGACGGATGACATTTCAGATTGTTCCTCGGATTTTATCAAGAATCTCTAAATATATAGCAGAAGCACCAAACCAGATGTGACATCAATATTCAATGAATGGACAAATAGTAGACTTATAAATGTATGTCAGATTATGGAGTTCGCTTAGCATTTGCCTAAAATAAATGGACGCCTCAATGAGACCGTAAAAATATACCAAACAGAATCGCAAGTTGTATTGTACTACTTCTGAAGAATATTTCGATGTTATATTGAGGCGCGGAAGTGTCTTTAGGAACACTAAGTTCCAAAGGGGTCTATTTCGAGGGAGATAATGGCCGAAATTAAATACTATGTGAAATATATAATTTACTGGATGAATGATACTTTTTTTGCAGTTAGTTTAGAGACGCCCATTCCTGATTTATGGAAGTTGAGCTTTGGGGATCCTTTATAGACTTTGGTAAATGACTTTCAAGAAAAAGAAGGATATTTCTTGAAAAAGATTTTAATTCTTATGATATTTCTTTCTTTCTGAACGTCTGAGTGGAATTTCTTTCTTTCTTTCCACCTTTCTTTCTTTCTTTCTTCTTTCTTTCCACCTTTCTTTTTTCTTTCTTCTTTCTTTCCACCTTTCTTTTTTCTTTCTTTTTTTCATTCTTTTCAGCTTTCTTTCTTTCTTTTTTTCATTCTTTCCAGCTTTCTTTCTTTCTTTTTTTCATTCTTTCCAGCTTTCTTTCTTTCTTTTTTTCATTCTTTTCAGCTTTCTTTCTTTCTTTCTTTCTTTCTTCCAGCTTTTGTTCTTTTTCTTTCTTTCTTCCTTTCCAGCTTTCTTTCTTTTTATCTTTCTTTCTTTCTTTCATTCTTTCTTTCATTCTTTCTTTCTTTCTTTCTTTCTTTCTTTTTCTTTTCTTTCTTTCTTTCTTTTTCTTTCTTTCTTTCTTTTTTTTCTATCCAGCTTTTTCTTTCTTTCTTTTTTCTTTCTTTTTAATCTTTCTTTCTTTTTCTTTCTTTCTTGTTTCTTTCTTTCTTGTTTCTTTCTTTCTATTTTCTTTCTTTCTTGTTTCTTTCTTTCTATTTTCTTTCTTTCTAGCGTTCTTTCTTTTTACCGGCTTTCTTTCTTTCTTTTTCTCTCTTTCCTTTTCTTTCTTTCTTTTTCTCTCTTTCCTTTTCTTTCTTTCTTTTTCCTTTCTTTCCAGCTTTCTTTTGTCTTTCTATCTTTCTTATACCAATATTTAACCAATTTAAATCTATGTATTCTCAAACCAAAATACGTATAAAACGGAACGAGATATTTCCTGGTTAATAAATTAAAATCTCAGATACAATCTCGAATGAAATCAGAAGTTTTTGAAAACAATCACTTTTCTTTATATTGAAGACTGAACAATGTACAGATACATTGCAATAATTGATGCCCATTGATGTAAGAAAATCTGAAAAGTATCATTGAAGTTTATTGAATTATTTATTGATTAGGTAATCAACTACGGTAATCCCTCATTGTGAATGACGTCGGAAAAACCAACAAGCATCGTCGAAATCTATTAAATATTTTATTGCGTGTGGAATAAATCGACTGTCGCCTGATATTTGCAAATCTTCTAAGCTCTAAGAAAATGTTTTCTATTTAAACTTATAGAAACGGACATTAATCATCATTGATAAACTTGTCTTTCTATTCTTGCCAGTCGCAGGAAAAGTCGTTTTGAAGAAGATAGATGGTGATAGGGAATTATGGATTTATTACCAGGATATAAAATAAAGAAAATCACGGCTAGATTATAATCAAAGCAGATTTTGGTGGCATCCAAATTAAATTCGTGATTACAGATTTTCTACAAGCCTGTTAGTGCGCAAAGCTATAATGAGCAATTGGCGCGTTTCAATCAACAGTAAAGCTATTTTATAAAAGAAGTAAGTCGACTAGTAATTGCATCACATGACATTTCCTTTCTTTAGGTTACAAATGCAAAGCATCAAATGAACATGGAGATGGAATAGCAAAAAGGAGAATGCATTGTAATTTTCAGAATCGTCACATCTTTTCATTCTTTTTTAATCTATTCGCCCCAAGGAAGACGATAACGCCACTAAAATACAAAGGGAGTCGGGGAGTGAAAGAGAAGACAAAGCCTTTAGAAAGAGCCAGAAACTCAATAGTATAAATTACAGAACTAAGTATGAGAAAAACACCTACTAAATTACACACACACACACACACACACACACACACACACACACACACACACACACACACACACACACACACACATATATATATATATATATATATATATATATATATATATATATATATATATTCATACACGTTTCATTAAATAATATAGACAATATTTATTTCATGTAAATTTTTTTCGTAACATCTGATAAGTTTAATAACATTATCGTTGAACGAAGAAAGAAATTCACAATATTGATCCATATTTTCGAGGTTCGACATGTAGAAATTGCTAAATGTCGTACCCAGTACTGAACCCATGGAGACACTATCACATTGTATATATATATATATTATTATTATGATCTAAGAAAGGGATTTCAGTAGTACAAGCTAATAGTAGTTTCCGTAATATATTAGGATTAATTTTAAGTGCGGGATAAAGATAAGTTACTGTATATATTTCTTATAATTATGTCAATAGTTTCGTTAAAAGGGACATTGGTAAATAAGTTTTCAACATCAAGTGAAGCTATGATTTCATTGTTGGGTTTTTCACTTTTTAGGATTTGGATTACTTCTAATGTTGACTTAACACTATATTTACTAGGAAGGTAGGGAGTAATAAGTTGGTTAATGTATTTTGTTAGCTGATATACAGGAGTTGGAATTTGTGATATGATAGGACGGAGAGGATAGTTAGGTTTATGTGTTTTTATAGTGCCGTATATGTAACCAGGTCTATAATCACCAACAATTTTAGGGAGTTTTAAAGAGTTCTGTTCAGCATTATTAGGATTAATGAGTTTATTAAGCTTTGATTTTAGTTGGTTGTCACAATATATATATATATATATATATATATATATATATATATATATATATATATATATATATTGGAATTTGTGTATTTAGGCAGCAAATTCTCTTTTAGGCATGTCTGATTGAATAAGTTAAAGACATTATGTCTGCTAATTTTTAATAAAATCCGTTCATACTCACGAATATCTTTCCGTGTCTAGATGTTAAAAAATGAGAAAATATACTCTAGCTGTTTAAATTTATTTTATTTTATACTTTGGAAATGAAAATAAAACAAATTTAAACAGCTAGAGTACATTTCTCTCATCTTCTAACATCTAGACACGGAAAGATATTCGCGAGTATGAACGGATTTTATTAAAAATTAGCAGACATAATGTCTGTAATTTGTTCAATCAGATATATATATACATATATATATATATATATATATATATATATATATATGCTCTTAGAAATATATATATAGAAATATATATATATATATATATATATATATATATATATATATGCTCTTAAGATGTGGTATATTTATGGGATAAAGTGCTCAATATCAGAGATAGAGCGTGTGTAAATATAGAAGTGAACATTGAAGTCAACACAAGGCAATAGTCTGTTTCATGCTAGACGCAATCACCAGGCCACCCATATATATATATATATATATATATATATATATATATATATATATATATATATATACAGAGAGAGAGAGGAAGAGAGAAAGGAAAAGTAATATTTAAAAAAAACACCTAATATTTATTTTATTTATATGCAATATTTATATGTAATATTTATATGTAGTATTTGTAATACATGTATTTTTACAGAGAAATATTAAAAATAAAATTGTTAGTTACAAATGGGATTTCGAAAAAATTGTTTTACTTTTTTACTTTAACCGGTTTCACTTTTAGTTTTTCAAAATCAAGGGGCGTAACTGTTTATATTTCCAAGTAGTGACGCTTGTGTTCTTAACAAATGAAAAATCAAGGGGCGTAACTGTCTTTATATGTCGCCTATGGTAAGGAAAACATGGTAGAATCTATTTTGAGGGACGTGCCTCTGGTTTATGCAATGAATTGAGTATTCGTTTAAACTTGTTGACAAAAAAATGTTTTGTTATTTCTTATTGCTTTTGCTCGTTGTGTTTCTAGTCGCATTGGTAGAATGGGAAGATATTCAATTTTTTTCTGATTTCATCTTCCATATATATATATATATATATATATATGCTTGACGTACTCTTAAAGGATCGAGCCACAGAGGATCGTTCGATTAGCAAGGTCGAATTTACTACCTTTAAACTTCAATCTTCCATGAATCTCTCACGTACATTCATATCTGCACAAAGCTTATCCAAATCAAATCAAATGACGCCACACATTATGAAACGGACAAAGTTCTGATCCAATTGACTTTTCTAAAACCTGTTAGACTGGCATAAATATGTGTTTTAATGCATCGTAATGGCGGTTGAACTGGTATTCTATAGAAGCGGTTCTCTGTTTTTTTGTTTTTTTTTAGACTGACGTTGTGTTTGACGTATGACCTTTAGTTATATCAAGGTTTGGTGTGGCTCTGTAACTTGCTAGGAACGTTTCTCAGATTGATGATGTCGTTTCCACCCCTTTGAGTTTTAAGAGTTCCCTCTTAAAAGTGTCGACAAAACATTCTTCCTGTATTTTTGATTATGGATGGAATGGTACTTACGTACATATTGAGTGTATTGGCAGAAATTGGAAAATTTTACTGTTAAATTTGTTAAAGTGTCATTTTCGGAGACTAAGGTCTCTTGCCCTACAAATCTGTTAAAGACTCAAAATGGTTTCCTCAGAGATGATGTGACTCAGGGAGAAAATTCCCGGTCATTTACTGTAGGCACCAACACGTACAAGAAATAATTGTCAAATTATGAGTCCCATTAATGTGAACACTTGACCAGTGGGAATCCTGGACATGACATAAAATAGTGTAGATTTCCAAGGGCCTTATCTCCTAATTAGCCTTTAGAACAATTATGAGTAATTCCTTCTAGCTATTTGTCCATTCTTGGTGAATAAACATAGCTACAAACCAAAGCCTTTATGCGGTTAATGCTCTGATGTCCAAAATTAAATTATGGACCCTGTTTTGCAATATCAGTGGAAGGATTACACGTTCACCAGAAAGAATGCAACTGTCGACTTCGGTTAATAATGACCAACATTAGCTGTTCGTTGGGTCATACTGCAGGCCACTTTGTCCGCTGGTAGTGAATCACTTTCTGCAGCAATGGGTTACAAATTGTGACTTCCTGGACCATTTGTAAAGTGACTGGCAATGCTTTCAGAGTGGTTGTGAGCACTGAAACCGTTCAGTTTTTATGGATACTGTTGCAACAACTGAGCACTCTGGTGATTTGAAGTGCGCATTCAAAAGTCTGGATAAGGCATCTTCGTGACAAATTGAAATTGTTAAGAGATACTTGTCATAAAATCATAATCCAAGAGAATGGTGGTCCATCGTTGGAATCAATTGGCTGAATAAACTTCTTGGATCAAAAAATGATAACCAAAGGCTTATACTCTGTGATCATACTGAAATAATGCCAATAAGAACTCTCATGATTTTTCTTTATGGTAAAGACAACTGCCAAGTCTTCTTTCTCAATTTGACCATAGTTTCGTTCAGTGGGTATCAATGACCTTGATCCATCAGCAATGGCCTTCTAAATGTCGTCAGGAAAGATATGAGAAATTACGGTAGTCACAAGCATCTGAAACAGCAATGATGTCAAAAGATGGATTATAACTTTGAAGAAGCAAATCCGAGGAAAGTAAAGATTTGATTTTGGTAAAAGCAGACTGGCAATCTGTTCCATGGAATATTCTTTTTTAGAAGGTGATCTAGGGAAACACGAATAGGGTGGCGTACTGGCAAAAAAAGGACTCTAATAGCTTATGAAGCCGATAAAAGAAGGTAATATCGAAATATTTACCGGTGCTGGCAGGTTTTTGATGACAGAAATATTTTCCGGGTTTGATCGTCGACCATTCTTGTAAAAAATAAACCCAAGGTACTTAATCAACATCCGGCAATATTGATATTTTTCCGCCTTGACCTGAAAATTATATGACTGAATCTGTTCGGAAACAAAAAAAATAAACCTTTTGGAAGTTTGTCCTGAGTTACTTCTGCGACGATGATATGAATAAATCCAGTGTCGCCTGTCAAATTAGTCATCATGGCATCC